ATTGTATAAATGTGTTTCCTTGACTCTTTTTCCAGCGTCCTGCTCATTCTTTACGTCTGCTGTGATCTTCTTTCCCCTAATCCATTAGTTATATTTTCCATTTTTGTAGTGGTGCGTTATGAAGAAAATGGATGCACTCAAATACATGGGCGACTGGTGCCACCTTAGTCTGGGTGGGCACATACCCTCCCCCCCCCCAGCAACCAGTCAGTGACCAGGGGGAGTCTCCCCACAGCAAAACTCACTAACCAGGAAGTGGCTGCGGCACTCCTGGAAGCAGCCGTGGCGCTACATCCAGCACTCCTACTCGCGGGGGGGGACACCAGCACTCCCACCTGAACCTCCTACCCATTGCTTAAGTGGGGGGTGCGGCCTGTCAGCAGGTTTATCAGAGCTCACAAGGGGTGCACGTGCACCCCCATGCACTCCCTATGCGTCACCACCGCTCAAATAGATAAATGTCTTCCCATTTATCAGGTAATGGGGCTGATGCCCTAAACTTTACTTGGGCAGCTAGGCTCACTGACTTTAAAAGGACTATTTGAGAGGTCAAAGATACCCAAGTAAGCAGTTCAGGATCCTGTCCAATATTTGTAAGGAATATTGAGGAGGGGTTTAAGGCCAGGGTTGCTGGGATTCTGAAGATGTATGGGGCACATGAAGGATATTGCAAGCATGTAGAAAGAGGTGGGGTCACTTCATGTCAGATAACTGATAGATCCTTCATTCAGATTAATGCAAAAATTCCTGAGCTGACAACCTATTTCCAAGAAAGGAATTGGTATCAGAAATAAATTTGCTAAATGGAAATATGAGACAACCAAAGGTATGCAAATGGGGTAGTAAAGAAGTACTTCTAGTGGAACAATGAAAAAAGGGCAGTAGTACAGACAGAGAGAGAACGAGAAAGGAAAAAAGAAGTTACATACTGTTTTAAGGCAAGCCCCAAAATGACTCCTGTAGAGCCACTGCTCATAATGTTGCTTCCCACAAATCCAAGCTGTAGGAAATCATAAGCCATTATATAGGTAAAAATCCCAGCTGCCCTGTAAGATCATCTCCTATAAATTACTATGGCTGTACTGAAATCATCTATGTAAGCTGAAGATAGAATAGAACAAAAAAAATAACAATTTCATGGAATTTTGTCCATATAAGTCCAAATTGGGAAAGTAATTCTATATTTGCTCTCTTACATGGTTGAATATGAAAATATCCATAAACAGGGTTATCATGTGTTTTAGAATTTCAGTTGTACTTTCTACTGAGATTCTATTTTGCAAATAGTTTGTTAAGAACTAATAAAATATGAATAGATAATGCAATCATAGTTGTCTGTATCGTAGCATATTTTGAGATCATCAGTAGGTTATATGATACATGGTGATTTAGCCATGGTTATAAAAAAAAATTGATCTGTTGAACTGTTTAACAGCTGATAATATATTAAAACAATCTAATGATCATTAGCCCTTGAGAAACCATTTGCAAATGCAGCATTAATATAGCTGTATCTCAAGCTTTTTTAATTTCTGTAGAATGCTATTGTTCTTGACCCTAATTTGCTGTCTTCCAGCTCATCAGTATTTTCTACCCTGATTCACTGATCTCAGCAGAGCTATTTTTTCCTGTTTACGTACTGTTAGCAGGAAAAGCAGAATGTATCTCATGATGACTAAAATTCTGTTGGATTTTTCCATGAGGGAGGGAAAATTTGCTGTGTTAATGCCAAAATAGCATATTATAAAACATGTAGCCAGCAACAATGTGGAACTCTAAACTGAGAAGGACTGAGATGTATACCTGCCAAACAATGAGGCATGAAGAGATGCACAGTACTCCAGATTACAGAACCACCTGTCGTGCTACTGGAAAATACATCTGCGTTATGAGTAGCCAGTAAAATGCATCCTGTCCTGTCCCTGTTCTTCTGCAATTAAGAGGCCTGTCCATCTACACAAAGAGCATAAAATAAGGTACCACAGGCTGTTTTATTAGTTTGGCTTAGAAGGATATGAAAAACCTAATATACAATTGGAAAATCATGGGGTTTATATTTTAATTCAAATTTTTGAAAACTGTCCAATTTTTAAGTTTGGGAGAGGTGATTGGTGATAGGTTTCCCATCAGTTTAACAAAGCAAATTGTACCTACTAATTATCTACCATGCATTAGTAATCCTACTTGATTAAGCACAGCCAGCTAATGAAGGATATAGACTATTCAAGGAATAGGCTTGTAAGCAGGTACAGAGGCTCATTCTTCCTTTGATAAAAGAGGTGTTAATAGCAATTAAGGTTTATTTAGCTGCTATAGAGGAGGTGAAGGTACTTCAAGAACAGAAGTGGGGCATTTTCAGAGCTGTTCTCAGAATGGGTGGTTGGGTAAGGCACCCGAAGCTGAGAGAATCTGTTTCTGTTACGTTTTAATGTCTCTTATGTGAAAAATTCCCCTTCTTGGAAGAGGGGACCCAAACTGGCTGCTGAGCTTCTTCAAGACCTCAAACCAAATGCTTATTATGGGGCTTATAGAAGGGCAGCATCATACCTTGTGTAAGTAATCATCTTAAACCAGACAGCATAACTACAAGCTTAAGTATTTACAGCCGGATGTATTCACTTAACTTAAGCCCTGCATGGAGTAGAAACATAGAGCCTTGTCATGTAGGGCCTGCCATATATAGCACTCCTGTTGCTTTCACTGGGAGGCTTGCAAGACCCTGGTCCTTTGAAGGGCCTGCCTAAGAAAAGCCTACATTAGCCTTTTTTTTCCTCCCAGCTAAAACATTTTGCTCCACTTAAAATTAAATTATGCTATAGCAATAGGGAAATGTTGGAGCGAATGTGGTTAGTTGACAGGATTCTATCATATGTGGTGGAGGTGTCCCCTTATTAAGCTCTTCTGGAGGAAGGTTGGCGATGTAGTGAGGGAAATAACAGGATGCCAACTATCAGATAACCCATTACTGTTCTTACTCAACCTTCCTGAGAACTCTGGAATATATGTGTCATAGGAAAGTGATCACTCTTCTGTAAGAATTACAATTGCAAGAGCCTAGAAGAGAACTGACACCCCTAGAATCCCTGACTGGTTTCAAAAAGTCTGGGAAGTTTTAATAACAAGAGAGCTTTCCTATCAAGTCCACGTTCCACAGGGGGGAAAACAAGAGATGCATCTTTGGAAATCTGTTGGACATTTTTGGAATTTGCTGAGAAAAGAATCTCTTCCTGCTTCCAAAACAGAAAATTTGTAAAACTTTTTTTGCAAGTTCTATGAGTGAACACTTAAGAACATATTTAGAAGAAATTTAGAAATTAAAAGCAGAGATGAGAAAAAGATAATGAGATTTGTGATATGTAGGGTTATAGGGAAAAGGAGGAGGTAAATTATGGTCTAGAGATGAAGAAACATGGGGGCTTGATACTGATGGAAACACTGAGGGAGTGTTGGAGACGGGGGAGGAGAGGAAGGGAGCAAAACTTCTGTGGACATTCATTTGAGTTGTGGTAGCGCAGTTAATAAAGGTTAAGTCTTTCTTTGTATATATTTTGGGGGATTGGATATATTTTTAAATGTTAAATCAGTTATTTTTATGGGTTGGACTGGCTGATAAGTAAAGTTTTAAAAAATTGTCTCATGATATCTAATGTTTCTTTTTCATTCTGCAGCTTCTGGAGTCATGTGATCATCTCCACTTCTCTTCAAAAGAAGCAGGTAAGCATCTAAGCTTCATGATAGTGGGAAAGAACTTAAAAATATAACCCCAAAGGATCAAAAAAACAAAAGGCAAATATAAAGGAACCCAAAAGAGCGTGTGTGTTGGGGTTGTTTTGGATGGGGGCTGATCCTGTTCTTGCTGCTTTCTGTGACCCTGGGACAGGCTGGGGTACATCTGTGGCTCCCTCCGTCACCATGCAGGGGCCTCGGGGTCTTGGCTTCACCAGGGATGCCCCCCCTCTGTTCCTGTAAATTGTAGGGACCCCCCTCCAGGTCCCAGCCCTGGGGGTCTGTGCACCCCTCCCCCAGCCTGACAGTGTTGCTCCCTCCCAGGCATGCCAAGGTGAAGGGCAAGTTCAAGGAGTCATACCTGTCGCCTGCCCAGTCCGTCAAGCCCCACATCAACTCGGAGGAGAAGCTGCCGCGGGACAAGCTCAACCCCCCCACACCCAGCATCTACGTGAGTGACTGAGAGGGGCAGAGGGGGGGCATGGCCTGGCGAAGGCCCATGAGCAGTGGGGCTGGGCCGGGGAAGGGAAAAAGGAGGCACAGCCCAGGAACAAGGGGTCAGCGTGCTATGGGGCAGCCTCTGGGGGCCTGTTCTCACCCTCATCCTGCCTTTCCCCCCAGCTGGAAAGCAAGCGGGATGCCTTCTCACCCGTCCTGCTTCAGTTCTGCACTGACCCCAAGAACCCCATCACTGTCATCCGGGGGCTGGCCGGCTCCCTACGCCTCAGTGAGTGTCTGGGGGGTGGTTGTGGGATGGTGTGGCCCCATGGCAGTCCTTATGCCAGAGTCTGGGGCTGAGGTTGGTGTAGGGGGACCTGGGGGCTGCAGGTCGGCAGCAGTGGGGTTGGCAGAGACCGTTGGTATGGGGGGCACCCCTACTCTGTGTGTGGAGGGGGGGCTATGGAGCTGGGGTCATGTGGTACTACCCTCTCACACCCCGGCCCCCACCCATCCCCACCCCCAGACCTGGGCCTGTTCAGCACAAAGACGCTGGTGGAGGCGAGTGGGGAGCATGCGGTAGAAGTGCGCACCCAGGTGCAGCAGCCCTCAGATGAGAACTGGGACCTCTCGGGCACCCGCCAGGTCTGGCCCTGTGAGAGCAGCCGCTCCCACACTACCATCGCCAAATATGCCCAGTACCAGGCCTCTTCTTTCCAGGAGTCCCTGCAGGTCAGTGCCAGGCCAGGTTGGGGCTCCCCATGCAGGGTGAGGGGATCTCTGAGGGGGTGG